TGTATTGTTTTGGAGCCTGTCCTGGAACTCGCTCTGTAGATCAGGCTGGCCTCCAACTGACAGAGATCTGCCTGCCTCTGCCTTCCGAGTGCTGGGATTAAAGGCATGCGCCACTATGCCGGGCATCTTGATCTCTTACTAACAATAGCTGATTCTTCAATTGACCAGAAATGACAAAGTCTTAGTAATGATCTCATAAGAATGACACTCATACCAGTTCTAAATTTAGTATTGCAACCTTCTCAAACCTGAGCTAGGCCCCCTGAGACCACTTTTTCCTCAAACTTGTCTTTCAAGTTCCTGTAGCAACTGCTCATCAAACTCTACATAATCAATGGCTTTTACTCTAAAGCACCTAAATTCTCCCTAATACTCCAACAATATCATTCCAAGCATAAAACAAAAACAAACAAACAAACAAACAAACAAAAACCACGTGGTCAGGTCCATCACAGCTGCACCGCACTTTCCTGGCACCAATTTTGGTTTCTGTTGATGAGATAAAATACTCTAACCAAAATCAATGTGGTGAGAAAAGGGGGTTATTTCAACCTATACTACCAGGTCACAATCCATAACCTAGAGAAGTCAGAGCAGAAACTTCAGCAGGAACTTGAAGTAGAAACCATCAAGGAACGCTGTTGGCAGGCCTACTGGCTAAGGTTCTCATACTTTAGTTAGCTTTCATATCCGTTCCAGGATTAGTGACTAAAGATGATACCATTTACAGTGGTCTGGGCCCTTCTACATCAATAAACAGTAAGAAAACCTCCTATACACATGTGTCAGCCCAATTGCTCTTCTCAGATAATTCTAAAGCTAACTAAGACATAAACCATTCAGAACAAAAGCACCCTACAAGGTCTTCTGAATTGGCTCTATAATGTTACATATTCTGTCATTCACCTACTCTTCTTAGCCACACTGGCTTTCTTAGCCATTACTAAAACGTTAATTACCTCAGTGTCTTACCACATGCTACCTATACTTCCTGGATTGTTTTTTTTTCAGATAACTAAGTAGCTCACTTTCTTATCCCCCTACTCTGCCCTCTGTATAATTATTATATTAGACAAAGGACCTACCTTCTTTATTAAAAGAACGTCTCATATGCCAAACAGGCCGTGAAAGCATGATGCCAGTGAAGATAGCCCTGAATTCCTAATCCTCTTGTCTCAGTCTCCCAAATACTTGAACTTAAACATATGTTGAAAAGACTTTTTCTACAGTCCTGTCAATTGAGGTTTATTTATTTATTTTGCTACTACTCTATAGGAATACATGAGGTTGGATACCTCATAAAGATGTGAGTTTCGTTTGACCCACAGTTTTGGAATCTGAATATCCAAATATTATGTCATTGGTTCTTATAGGAGACCCTCTGACTACACCACATAAGGAAGATAAAATCATGCCTGGAGCACATATAAGCGGAACTGATCACATGCAGATATAGGATTCCATAATCACTCAATGGGACCAAACACTCTTTCATTTAAAAAAAATCAACATTTTCATGTAATATGAAGTAAAAAACACAAGGCTTTGAACTTTTTTAGACAAGTCCTCTACCACTGAGATATATCCCCAGGCTAACAAATCCCACATGAAGAAACTGAGCATCTCACAAGAACTACCTCAGTTTCTTCCAAGAGCAGCACCTCCAAAAACCTAGTCACCTCATCTCTGCTCTACCTCCTAAGGATCTCACACCTCTGCCACACACCCCAGGTCCTCTATCACATCCCATGGCCTGTGTTGATGCTCTGCACAGCCCAGATTCCACTCCTGTGGATAATCTGTATAGTCAGGTGAATTGAAGACAGTAAAGTAATATTAAAACTCCCCCACAGTAAGGATGAGAAATATCACAATGCAGGGAGTTAGGACTCTGTATAGTGCTACTTCAGATGACTCAAAAATAGAAACAGAAAATGGAAAGATATATGACATGCCTGAGATTAATATAATGCTGATTGTATGTACTATGAATCTGGTAATTAATATTTTATCAATAATAGTCATAGTGGATTTTTGTGTCAAACATGAAAAGTTGACTAGTAAGATACAAGGCTTAGAAAGAGTCATTAATGAACAAAGAAAAATTCTCAGACACAGGCAGAGGAATGAGAAAAGAATGAAATAGGCCAGCCCAAGGTTGTTGAAAACCAACTTTAATGTATTCACATACTGTACAAGAACTACCAGCAAACAACAGGTACCCCCAAGATTATGGAGAAGTTGAGTGGAATCCTATACATATATAGATTTGAGGAGATTAAAGGAAATGGTCATTTCATATAGTATTCATTCACCCAAGGTGTACCAGATGTTAAATCCATGGGCAACTCAGAACAGAATCATTCCCAAGACTAGAAAGACCTGGTCAAAGCAATATTGGAAGTTGTTCCTCAGTTACAGAGGATAACATGAAAGGAAGAGGAATTTACCACCATAAAACAATGAAATAGGGTGAGAGGTACCGATATTTCCCAAGACCAGTATTAGGTAAGGGTCAATAGATTGATTACAAAGGCAGAGTAATTTTAACAAACATACCTTGGTCTTGTGTCATTTAGCAGCTCTGAATGTTTGGGACAAGGTTGAAGAATCAGAAAAGAGGTGTAGGTCATTTACTAACATTGTACAAATCCCAAAAGAAGCTTTCACTGACTCTTTGCAAAAATTGACTTTAGCTGTAAACAGAACAAACTGTATCAAATCCAAAATCTAGGCAAATATTAATTCAATTCTTGGCTCTTGAAAATGCTTATTCTGAATGCAAAAGGATGATTGTGCCTTTAAAGGCAAGATCAGCACCAATAGATGCATGGATTAGAGACATGGATGATACTGGACCTGAAGCTTATGATACTACTCTGATCAGAGAAACAATTTCTAAACATTTAAGAAAAATGAAAATGTGAGATGTTTTAATTGTGGTGAGCCTTGGACCCTCACCAACACTGGGATAGGAAGAGTGACCAACTAAGCCTCAGACTACACCAATTGCAGGAAGAGGGACACTCTGCATCACAGACCCCACCTGCATCCATCGGAAGAAGAGATGGCTAGGCAACAGGATAAGAACATATTCAACACCATAAATAGGAATATGATATCACCAGTCACTAGGGGTTTATTCCATAAAGACCTGAATATCCAAAAGCAGAGGAAAACAACCTTAAGAATAACTTTATGAAGATGATACAGGCCATTAAAGATGGAATGATAAACTCCCTTAAAGATATGGAGGAAAAGACAAACAAAAAAATGGAAGACATGGATGAAGACAAACAAAAAATGGAAGAAATCAACATATCCCTGAAAGAGGGAGGTAACTCAGACACTGCTTCTGGCAGTGGATCTAGTATGTGTCCCCAGTACATGTGGCTTTGGGGACCAGTGGGTGGGAAAAAGTAGGCAAGGAAGCAAGCCCAGCCTGCCCCAGAAGACATCCACTGAGCTGGCCTCTGATGAGGTGATGGGGTCACTGTCCATTGGTCCATTTCATCTCTCATCAGACTCGGCTACTGTTGTCAAGGCCCTCTAGTAAACCCAGGATATCTGCCAGGATATATCTGCTAGACATGATTTTACTATCTGTCAAGGCCTGCTGTCCTTTAGGCCCATTGAGGCTTAGTTATCCCCCATAGGGTTAATACGGTGGCATGACAGACAGAATGGCTGAGCTGCAGGAACAGCTCAGTTCAGAAAAAAATGGTGGTTTCCAAATTAAAAAATGACTCTCATGGATACAGGTGGGAGCTAAAAAGCACACTGAAGGCCCAGCATGAGCACCTAAAAGAATTGGAAGTATTCGCATGTGCCCCTGCTTTGATGTGAGGGTCAGAGGGGAACTTTGCTGGCTTGTCATAACCGTTATGCACATAGCACACAGCAGCAGAAGCCTGAGTAGAGCGATAAAACTGATTTTTTTCCCAAATTTAAAATGCAGTCCTTCTGTCATCCCCTCTGCTATGATTTCTGTTCCAGTCAACAGATATTAGATATTATTTGACCTCAATCTTGCCACTGACTAGCTTTAACTGATGGGTAATCTCATGTTTCAGTTGGCTAGTAACTGCCAGGTGTTGGAATTGAGAATGCATAGGGAAAGGATGTATTCTGCTTTCCAGAGGCATGCTGTGAGTACACACGTTTTTACTTTAGACGTTGATTTCACACACACAAATTCACATGATTTCTAAGTGCAGCAAAAGACAAAAGGTGTTAATTGTGAGGTCTGTTTCACTTTTTCTCTTTTTCTTAAAGACTAGAGTTTGAGGTATTGGATGAAGATGCTTTAATTTCAGTTCCAGAAAGAATTGATAGAATTATATTTTGAGTACAGAGACTAAGGCACCGACAAGAAGATGAGGAACGACTTTTTCAAGTTCTTTTCAGAGAGAAAAAAATCAAACAAAATCATGAATTGTTTAAAAATTGGTCGACTATTTTGTAAGAATTTTGATTATATTTGTCTGTACAGTGTTTCTCTTTCCCCAACAAGAAGAAATGCAAGTTGGGGAGGAATTACCATTCATGCTGTTGGTGAATAATTAATCTGTTATAAAGAGACCCAGCTTCTTGAGAATGTGGCTTGGCTTCCCTGTCCTCCCACTCAAGAGCTCAGAATCAGTCTTGTTGGCATCCTCACGGGTGACTGTCCTGCGAGCCTCTTCACTCCCTCTCTTTGACATTGTACATTTGACACTTTTGACTTCTTAGGAAGTATTTCTGTTTTTCCTTTTGTTGGTTGTGGTTTTGTATTCCTAGACAGGATTCTCTGTGTAACCCTGACTGTCATGTATACCAGGCTGGGCACGATATCAGAGATCTGCACGCCTCTTCCTCCAGAATGAAGGAGTAAAGGCGTGCTCCACCAAGACCTGCTGTACTCACTTTGTGAAATCCCGTTTTCCTTGTGTTGTGTGTCAGTGATCTCCCTTCACCTGCCTCAGTTAGGTCTGTCTGCCTCGTTTGTTTCTGCATGCATCATGTTCCTCCCAGGACTATAAACCTCCCAGAACCCTACATGAGCTCCTGTTGGCCTTGCTGAGCACCTGCTGTGTTCCAAGTGCAGCTTGAGGCCTAGGGATTCATTAGACAACGTGACAAGAATTTTGCCCTTGTGCAGTTACTGCCTACTGGATTGTTCTGGTGTAGGCCTTTTGCCTGTGACCCAGTCTTATATTTTCAGTTAGCTACTAGACATCTTTGGCTAAATATTCCTAGTAGTGACCCCTTAGGAGCCTCACAGACACAATAAAACCTAAACATTGTCTTCTGCCCTAACTCTGTTCCTCATACCGCTTTTCTGGTTACGATGTCACCCAGTTTGGAAGGCTGGAAGTCACCACAGACCATGTTCCTTCACTCTTACAATTACATGTAAGCAGTGATAAACCATGTGAATTTCCACTCATGTGCCCTTTTGTGTGTGCTGTTCCTGTTTCCTGTGCCCTCCCCAGATCTTCCCCTGCCTGGCAAGTTTCTACTATTACCATAGATAGTACATAGAGAGAACAGAAATTTTGTAGAGAAATAGAAAAATATGATATTTAAAAATGACCATTAAACAGCTTGATACAACTATTAGAAACAGAGAAATAAAAAATTTGAATTGAAAAGACTTCTAGAATTACTATTTGATACTTTTTATAGTGCTGACTATTGAATCCAGGGCTCAGTACATACTAGGTAAGTCTTCCACCACCAAGCTCTCTCTCAACACTAATTAATGTAATTTATTTATAGGCAAGGATACTGAATTGTAGAGAGGTGAATTTCCTTGTTCAGTGTGACACAATTATGATACTATGGACATTTAATAGAAAGTAAATTCTGTAGTATTATTTACTAAATTAAGATCACATAAAACAATACATTAAGTGAATCTCATAAAAATGGAATAATTATGTCTTTTTGAAAAAATAATCTGTAAGAGCATATTACTGTTATGAAATAAGAACTCAGTTCAGGTAGGCAGCACTATTATATGAGAAGAATACCAATGCCAAGAGGTATACTGGGCAATGAACATAAAGAACTAAACCTAAACCTCTGCAACCATTACATATGATAAAATAAAAGGTAGTGATTCTAAGAATCTCTGAATGATTTGTTAGGCTTAATGATATCTTAGTTTTTGAAAAGGCTAATTTGATCATTTTCTTTTTTAAATTCCTTTTTGTTTATTCAAATGTATCTTTTACATCATGCAATTAATTGACACTTTTCTTACATGATATAAGTTCAAATCCCATGTACTTAACAAATGTCAATTTTACAGTAAGAATAGAGCAGTGTAATACAAAACAATAGCATCATGACAGGGCAATATGGAGCCCCATGGTTTGCACTGACATTTACTAACTACTGGCCATGTTACTGTATGACTTGCTGTGGCCAAGAAGACTGCCAGTGCTTTACTTGTGGCAGACTTAGCAATTATGAAGAGTAGTATATACACAGTAATAAAAAGATCAGCTCAGAATGCTCAGAAGACAAACATGTCACATGCTGTCGGGAATAATAACAATTAATATACGTAAAGAGAATATTCTACTTACCAGCATGCATAATGAAAGTGTGCCCAGGGGTCATTATCTAGTTTGTTGACTGAATATCCATTATTAAGAACAATGTTTAGTAATTCTGAATCTCCTACACAGGCATTTCGATGCAAAGAAAAGTCATCATCCCATTGTCATTCTCTAATCTTAAAAAAGAAATTAAGAAAGTATAAATACTGGTGACACTCACATTCCTTCAAAACAGATGTGACACACATCTATGCAAACTACCTATCACTGTGCAGCTGTAGGCCAGTGATCACACCGCTTACTTACTGCCTAGATAGATTCTAACATCAAGTTATGAAAGCCAATTTGAGTAAAACAAAACAGTACTTGTCTTCCATGACACTGCTCATGCTTTGCTGCCATGATTCATGTTTGGAATTTGCATTTTTAAGTGGTCTGAAGTTTTCTGTCGACAGAGTTTGATCTGTCTACCACATGCCAGTCTGGTACTCTCAGAGGTCAGACATCATTGCTGGATGTAGGACAAATTCCAATAGTTGTAAATACTAAAAACCTATATTCTGATGTTGGGATTAATGCTGAAGATCAGAGAATAATTCTCTAGTGGCCAGTCACTAGAGAATTCTTACCTCTGCCAATGATCAGACCAATGTGGCAACCATGTTCTCAGACTGCACTGTACTTCAAACTACACTGCTCTTCAGACTGTACTGCTCTCCAGACTGCCTCCATCTCTACAAATCTTCCTGCCATATAGTTCTCTCTCTGCCCAGGTATATCACTCTTGACCCCACCTGCCTGGTACTGGTAAAGCAACATGATCCCAAGGGCTGTGATCCCCTTTGTGTGAGCTCTGTTTCACTTTTAGACAAATTCAATCACATGCAGGCCAGGGTGGCCTTGAACTAACAGAGCTCTATCTGGCTCTGTCTCCCAAGTGCTGGAATTAAAGGTGTGTGCCACCATTACCTGACATCTATGGCTAACTAATGTGGCTAGCTTTGTACTCTGATCTTAAAGCAAGCTTTAATTATTAAATCATAAATGAAATATCATCACAGAGGAGGAGGTGGGGGGATAAGCTGTGGGATGGGGGAGAAGGGCAGAAGGAGAAGGGGAGGGAGAGGGAACTGGGGTTAGTATGTAAATGAAAAAATGTTTTAAGAAGAGTATGTCTTACTTAGGATTTCTACCGCTGTGATAAACACCCTGACCCAAATCAACTGGGGATGGAATGAAAAGTTGTTTTCACATAAAGATTATTAGTCCACCACTGAGGAAAGCCACAGCAGGAACTTGAACAGACACAACAGAGGGGTCTCTTCATTCTGTTCTTCAAGTCATGACTTGCTCCTCATGGTTTGCTTGGCTTCTTTCTTACAGCACCCCGGATCACGGGCATGGGGGTGACACAACTCTGCAGTTGGCTGATCCTTCTCACACCAAGCACTAATCAAGAAAATGTCACTCAGGCTTTTTAAAGGTCAGTCTGTGGGAGACTTTTCTCAGCTGAGATTCTTTCCTCGTAATGACCCTAGCTTGTGTCAAGTTGACATACAACTAGCCAGCACACGGTGCATCAAAAGATGTCATTCATTCAGAAATACAGAAATGGCTTACCACAGGAAAACCAATAAATGTAGTACATTCACAAATGAACAGATCATATGAGCATCTTAGTATATGGAGAAAAGGCTTTCTACCAAATCCACAGCACTTCACAAAAGGAAGACTATTTCATCAAAGAGAATATGAATGGAAGGAATATTTCAACACTAGGGAGGTGAAGACAGGAGGGCAGAAGTCCAAGGCCACCATTCCCAGCATAGTGAGTTCAAGGCCAGTGTAGGCTACTTTCTCTCAAATATAATAAAGTCCTGCCATTCACGGGAAGATGGACACAAATGGAGATAGTCATGTTAAACAAATTAAGTCAGTCTCAGAATGACAAACCCTGCTTGACCTTCCCACTTGTTGTGTCCAGATTTTCCCACTGATGTGCAGAATCACCATTGTGTCTGTAAGTAAAACTGCCAAGGGGAAAAAAAGGGGACCAACACGATGAGGGACGGATGAAGCAGCACTTTGTCCAGCTTGGAAGTAGGCAGAGCAGACATGGAGGGAGAGAGCAGCACCTTGTGCAGATTCAACAGGGAAAACAAAGTCCTGATCTTTGATCTCATTTTCTGGTCTTCTGAGAAAGACTCATCATCACTGTCTGCTGAGGGTGTCATACTTGGGGCGGTGGCTGTAGCGGTGTCTGATGTGTTATTCTCATTCTTCCCTTTGATTGTCTTTCAGTTTTCCAACTGGACTCTGAGAATTACCTTTCATGGAGTGGTTAAGCATGCTGGATGTCCAGTTGTTTCTCAGAAACTGAGTATGGACCTCAGTTTCACCGTGCTCTCTGTCCTTCTGTCCTGGCTTGGACTTCAAGGTGTTCCATCTGAAGGAAGGAAAGGACAAGAGGATATTTTGGATGCAAGCAGATACAATGGGGTTCCTGATGCCACCAGTGACCTCTCCTCTGTAACCTGACATATAAGTGTTCTACACTGTGTCAATGAGGAGAAGCAAAGAGGAAGGGACAAACCCAGAGCATTGCTTTTATTTACCCATTCATTTTTGTAGTTCAATGGATGGAAGAAAGGAACCAAGATTACCAGGGAGGTGTGCTTCACCCAAGATATATCCCTAGCACTGTACTTTTATTTTTCAAGGGGTTTGCCTATTAGCTAAATAAGGGTAGTTCAATCCATCTTGCTGTGCATTGGACTTAGGGCTTTGAATGCACTGCGCAAGTACTCTAACAATAGAGCTCTATCCTCATCCCTTAGAGTCATTCTAAATAATGATCCAATAATGAGTCATTTATAAAAATAAAGTACATGGAACAGTGATGCAAGTCCAGAGTCCCAGATATTGTGGTAATGAGAGTTAAACATCTTTGTGGCCTTTCTTATTAGTATAAGCACTGACCTTAGTCAGTTGTGGTGACAAACACCTTTAATCCCAGAACCTGGGAGACAAAGGAAGGCAGATCTTTCTGAGTTTGAGGACAGCCAGTGATACATAAACAACAACAACAACAGCAGACAGAAAGGAACAGATACAGAGAGCTGCAGACATGAAGGGAGTGAGAGATCTTGGAACACTCATTTTCAAGTAGGTAAAAAAGTGTAAGAGGCAGAGGGAACAGAGGAACCAATATAAAGGAGTCCTTCTATTCACAACAGGACTGGTGCACATGTGACTCACAGGGCCTCTGGCAACATGCACAGGGCATGCACAATTTAAGTCAGATGGGTCCTGGTGTGGAAAGGGAAAAGTGGACACAATCTCCCATTCCCTAATCCAACAGCTATCTCCAACAGACAGCCATTTGCAACTGAAAATTAATTTTTTCCAATGTAGCCTACCTGGGTTTACAAACCACACTTAAGGGCAAACCCAATGCCCAGCAGTAGTTAGCCAACAAAAATGCACCCAATAGTATCTATGTAGACTTTTCATCTTGTATTGCTTTCTTTAGACAGTTTTAACATTGCTGTTCTTTTTATATTATGAATTCAAATTTTGTGTTTTTATGGATTTTGCCTCTTTTGTTTCTTTTTCTTGTCTTTCTAAAATATTCTAGTCTGTTAAGACAGGCAGTGGTAGCATGTACCTTAACAACCAGCACTTAGGAGGCAGTGACAGATGGATCTCCAGGTTCAAGGACAACTTGATCTACAGTGTAAGTTTTTGGACAGACAGAAACCCTGTCAGGGAAAAGCCAAAAACCAAAGAATTAAAAATTTAACTCAGTTTCCCATATGTAAGCCTATCCTTCCTACAATATTTCTACAATTATCTACTTATGAAGTTGACAGTATTTCAGAAAGCCATAAATGGTACTTTTCTATGATGAGACCTGGTATCTCAGTTCTTGTCTAGATATAACAGCTGACAATGTATCGTGTTTAGCTTGCCAAAGGAATTTACCATGGCAGTGTTAGATTCCTCACAAAAAGATAGTTTGAAGATGGCAAAAGAAAGTCCAGTCTGGCGCATCCTCCATGCCTTAGCCAAGATGAAATAGAACACTTTTGTGGCCAACATCAAAGAACATTCCATCCACGACTCACCCTGTACACATATGAATGTACACCCCTCTGTGAGTTCCTGGCAAGGAGCAAAAATTGTGTGAATCATCTTATAATCACCATAAGTTCAAAGTCAGAAGAAAACATACCTACAGAATTATATTTTAAATCATATCTTCATAAAAAGTGATCAGTAAAAATGAAAAGTTCCATGTTGGAGCACACCTGGTCACATTCATTGATCATGCGAGAACAGTGCTCTGAGCAGCCACAGCCATGAAGAAACACCGTGTGAAGTTAAAATCTCCGGTTACTGGAATTCTGTGGATGCTGATGCAATAAGCCAATCAAATTGAATTAATAATGTCATGTTTCATATTGGCAAAACATTCCTTGGTGGCCCCAGGGGAGAGCAGACAGACAGAGTTGAACCCAGTTGTATCTGCTCATAAAGCCCTCCGGGATGGAGCTACCAGTGGCAGCCTTTTTAGGGTCAGAGTCTGGAAGGAGGCAGACTCAGTGAGCCACTCACTGACTCTCAACAAAGACCAAGACTCTGATGACACAATAGAGAAGACTGAAGAGGTCAGGTGAAAGCAGGCATCTCAGCCATGGTCTTTTGTGGAGCATGAACCCTGTCTGACTCAGGGAACCTTGTGGGGACAAAGACAAACTTGCCAACACAAGGTTTGGGTACAGTTTGCTGTAGTTGCAATTCTGAGGTTTAAGTGGCCTGTACTAGATCCAGAACCAAAGGTCATATTGGGAATTGGTATCATGAAACAATCAAATGGTGTGAATGTGTGTGTGTGTGTGTGTGTGTGTGTGTGTGAGTATACATATATATATATACATATATATAAATATATATGCATATATATAAATTGAGACAGGTGTTATATGCTGAAGACAATTTAAAACACACAACAATAAACACTGGCCCTCCTACCCTGATTTTCATTAGTTTCTTGTTGCTTCTTTGCCAAATATCTTCCTCTTCCAAATGAGTATTTCCCTGTGCTTGTTACTTTTCTGTTTCTTTGTATCAACCAGTTTCCCTCATAGGATCCACATTATGCATAGACATTCCATTTTCTTTATGTTCATTTAAATAATACTGAGATTTTTATTATTCTTTAACAACTATGATTTACTAATTTTTCCACTCAAGTGACCCCCTCCATTGTCTATCATTCCATGTTCTCATAATTACAGAATCATTCCAGTACTCCTACCCTCTAATGATGAATATGTATATCTATCTATCTATCTATCTATCTATCTATCTATCTATCCATCATCTATTTATCTATCCTTGTAGACATCTCATCACTAACCCTTATCTCCATTTCTTCAGTGGTGACCCAGAAGCACATGCTTTGTCCTCAGTGTCTTAGTTGCAGTGTTAGACCCCACTCTTATCTCTCTGACAGTGTCTCGCAGCAGACGTCCCCACGTATCCTTTTTCCATCCTTTCTATCTGATTCTCCTTCACTGTGTTTGTGACTCCTGCTCTCTTCACTGACTAGGAGGATTTTCTATGTCTGGTAACATTTCATTGTGACAGACTGATGGAATTGCATACCCGAGGTCTTCACTTTGATCTTTACAATAATCTCTACATGCCACAGGCTCCACCTGGTCCTGTCACACTTCTCTGTACACCACAGACCTTCACCTTATCCTATCATACATCTCTGTATACCTCAGATTCCACCTTGTCCTGTCACACACATCTCTCTACACCACAGACTCTACCTGCCCCTGTCACACACATCTCTCTTACCACAGGTCTTCACCTGGTCCTGTCACACATCTCTCTACACCACAGACTCTTACCTGGTCCTGTCACACACATCTCTCTACACCACAGGAGCCACCTTATCCTGTCACACACATCTCTCTTACCACAGGTCTTCATCATGTCCTGTCTCACACCTCTCTCCTTTCTTACCATAATTTTACCTCCTCATTTCCTCTCTACACTTGAGCACATGGATGTCACATTTACAAACATTACAATAGTTTCCTGTGTCACCTTTCCTCTTTTCATTAAAAAGCTAATATTAATATTCCCTTCTTCAGAGCTTCTCTTTGATCCTGAACTGTGAATTTACTTAGATGTGTATTGCTTGCACAAGCAGACATGAGCTTCCTGGGTGACGCGTTTGAAACAGTGTTTTTCACAGCAGGGTCAGGGGAACTGGGACATTTCTGGAGGTCAGTTACTTTTTTATGTTACAGTGCTTTTCATTCAACAGCAGAGGCTGACTGAGAAGCTGCGTTTTCTATCATGTGAAAGATGAAGTGCAGAGATGGTATTTGTGTTCATCATACAATCAGAACCATTCTCAAAACTGCCCAGATGCTAAGAAAAGCGAAGATGGGTTCAGTAGACCAAAGATGCATCCCAGTCCAGTGACTCCAAACAGCATCCCTATGAGTGAGATGCAGTAAAAATATTAGAATCATTGATTTTAGTGTCGGGATATTAAATTATTATATGACATACAGTGCAATAGGTAGAAGTTGTGCAAACACACACACACACACACACATTCCTGCACAGTATGGTCATTGTCCCACATAATCTTATGGAGACAACTATTTGAGTGAAAATGTCACGACATTAAATAATAATTTTAAAGGTATGAAGATTTTAAATATTTTACTTGTAATTTTTCAATCATATTAGAATATTTCTTTAAAATATTTGAAGGGTCATATATGTGTTAAGTTTACAAGCAGTAAAATGCATGGATTTCTCCATTCTTCTAAATATCTACTAAACACTTTACCTTTGAGGACAGGTGATGGGGACATACAGACATTTGGACATCCAAATGTGTCCTTCCACAATTGTGTCTTCTGTCAATTCTGATGATATCACCTAAATGTCTCTTCAAGTTTATTTTATTTGTTTGTGTGTTTGTAGGAAAGTGTGCAATGCGCATGCAAACACGAGACATGTGACAGTCAGAGGACAACTGTCAGGAATGTAAGCTCTCCTCCCACTATCTGGGTTCCATGAGCGAATGCATCCTTGGCAATGAATACTTTTACCACCGTTTTACACACCAGCAAGATGATTCCTTAGGGTGAAGCTCTCTTCTATATTCTATTCTGCTCATAGTCTTTCTTTTCTTTAGTGAAGCCGATTTGTGCAGGCCAATTGATATTTTTTGTCCTTGGTTCAAATTTAATTTTCTTTATAATACCTCCCTTGCAACCCATAAATATCTCCCATGTATTTTTGCAAGTCAACATTCCTGGTGTTTGTAGCACCCAAGATGTTTAACTTGTTCTCTAAGTCACTTTTCTCAATGCAACTTTATTGTCTTCAATCAAGTTACAAGGTCTTGAAGGAAAAAGAGAGCTCTTGTTTTTCAGTGGTCATTTCATAACCAGAAAGGGATCTGGAAGACAGTGTAAGCAAAGGCATGCCATTTTTCCCTTGGGTGCCAACAAGGCATTGCTGCATGTCCATGAGAATGTATCCAACATTTGCATTTCCTAGAATTACCTAATACTGCATGTGCATCAAGGAAGACAGCATGATTCTAACATGGCAGTGAGCCAGAAGACAGCCGCCACACAGACACGCAGGAAAGGCCTAGGACATTGCATTCATTCATTCTTCCATTCAAAGCATTCATTTACAAACACCTACAGAGAGCATATTCTGCTGTCTTCCTACTGTCTCGTGAGAGTGAATGACACATGAGGAAATAAAGAACTGTCTACCACCCATTCAGTTATTTATGAAAAATAAAATGAAATCTAGGCCTATGTTCGCTAGAACTAGGTATGTATTTTTGATTAAAATTTGATGTATGAATTATAAAGTAGCATTTAATTCACAATCACAAGTTCAAGTCTGAGAAGACACATGTTATAGGCATGTGAAGTCCAGAAACATGGCATGGAAACATGACACTTACCATGGGAATTGTTCGTCATCAGGTATTTGTGCAACAGAAACAGTTCTAGTCTCGTAATTTTGTTTGCTCTTCTTCGATACAGTGATTTCACAATTTATCCTCATGTATAACGGGCATTCAAAGTCCCAGTATACATATTGTAGGTTAGATGGTCTTACCATTGAATGTGCCTTCTATGGGTGATGGGCACCTAAAAATAAAACCACTTAGAAATGTATATTTGCACTGCTTCCATGATTAAATCCTTCTACATTAGTTAAGCTGGGTACCTCTAACATCAAGTCTTGATTACAGGATTGTTTTCACAGGACTGTGCTTTTTCTATGTCTGCAGTCCAGATTTCTGTGGTCAAGAAGGTGGTACATAAATCATAATTCTATCAAATGCTCTCCTGGGAAATTTATATAAATGCAGAGTTTCTTACTGAACATG